CCAAGTTACAGTACCTGAAGCTTGTTCTGCTCCCTCCTCACGCCCTACTAGATCTACATGTAATTTCTTCACTTTCGTCCTACCGAGATTAAAACAAAATAAAAACAATTAATCGCTCTGTTTCTGTTTGATCTTCTCAGGTCTTTGCGCGCAAGTTGGATGACCAAAAGAACCTAGAAGCCCAATAATGAAGGCCACTGTGATCAAAGGTTCCAACACGTCTTCTCTTTGGTTTAGTAAGAGTACTACGGCGCTCGCAACTACATAAGGTCATATGAGCGCGCGAAACACAAGTTGCTTGCATCAACAGTTCACAGAATAGCTTGGTTTTTGGTCAATGGCCAGTTAAATAATTAAAAATATTAGGGTAAAAATTTTTGTCACAAAAAGATTCACATTTCGTTTAAAATAACATAATTTACATTTTCGTATTATAAACCAGTGGCCTTTATTAAAGAAAGGTGAATTCTGCTGGGATCAACACGTCATCTTTGACGTTTGCCTCAAAAAGTTGCCATAATAATATAATTTTCATCAACTCGACACTTCTTGAACACCTCCTTATGAAACGGGGTCCAAAAGATGGGTGTGTAGCCTACTTCACGAGACTAACGTAGAGACGTCTAGACGGTCGCAGGATAAAATCAACAAGCTTACACTGAAATGTTGGGGGCAGGGTGATGCCACCATCCTTTTCTTTTCTATTTTGTTTTAATAAGTGTTTTGCGGCCCTCGCAACTGCACACGGTCATATGAGCGCGCGGGATACTTAAGCATTTTCTGTTTGGTAAGAATTAATTTTGAGTTTTTTGCCCGGGTGGTGGCCGAAGCCTGCTCTTATAATCGATTTTAGGACCGCCAAGAGACTTCCGAATGGCATCATGCAGAAGAGTTAACGCTCAGATGCTACTGGATCGCTAACAACATCCGAAAAGGCTATGTTATAGATCTTACCTACTCTAAGACTAAGATATGGGGTGTGGCTGAAAGACAGCAGTGAGAAGTCAAGGAGTAGCAGCACAAAGGCAGCGGAGGGAGCCAGGAGTCCATG